AAAATTAAATATTTTCAAGTGTGGTATGAAAATATTTTATGCAATTTTTGTCTCATAGTTACTCGTAGAGGTAGGAGCTACTAGAAAAGGAAGACTGCTTCTAATCACCATGGTACATGATAAACTTGAAAACCACCCCATTTTCATTTGAGTGGGAACAGGGCCCCAGGACCTGGGTAAATAACTGTCACTGTTCTCAGAAGCAGGTGTGATTGTTGGTGAATTGCTTTCCTCTCCTTTCTGAGTGGCTGGCAGGCCATGTATCTCCTGTATCTCCTGATGGTTCTGAAATGTTAAGATATTTTCCCACCAAGGTCAATAATTTCTTTTATAGAACTAATTATTGATTTCTGTACTGGAACTTGATTCTCAAGTTCCCTCCTTAAATGAGGAAGTGGAAAAGTGGGAATAACTAAGCGGGTAACTATGAAACTTTTTTTTTTAGCAGTAAAGAAGCATCTTACTATTTTTAGCTTGTTTACAGATATTTCATATCTTAATTTGTGTAGAATTTAATGCATGCATCTTTCTTTATCAACTCCCCAGGATTGTAGTCAGTAGGGCAAGAGAATTAACATTAATTTGAATTTTCTAAGTTCAGGGAGCCAGATGTATTCAATTTTAGTTTGGTAAATGCAACATTAGAGGGATGAACAAAGATAAATAGTACAGAGAAAAAAGCTGTTTCTAAAGTGGTAGGATGAGTTGTGAGTAAGGTTATAAAAGATGAGTAAAACTTCAGTTTGCGACTGAAGTTGATTTCTCTTTAGTTTATAAGTCTTAAGATACTTGCCCCCCCCACCCATGGTCAAAATGCAGTAGATACAGTAGTACTTTACAGATTAATTTTCTTACTTTTCTTCCTTGACGGTTGTGAAGATTTTATGGTCTTTTTGAATAGTTTGTGAATGTTTTTAGGCTTTGACAAGTTCTTAGAGTTACTCAGATCCTTGGTTCTTTTTTTTTTCCCCACAGACCCTGTATCCAGTCTGTGGACAAATCCTTGTGTGTTCCACCTCAGAGGGTATCTTGAAATGGATCCCTTCTTATGCTCTCTACTGCTACTACCATTTTCTCCTTGATTATAGCAACTGGCTCCTATCTGATCCTCTCTGCTTCTACCCTTACTACTCATATAATCTGTCTCCACATAGTAGCTAGTGAGTCTTTTAAACATAAATTATTACTCTTGCTTGAAATCTTATTTTTCTCTGAAAAAAAAAAAAAAGCCAGATACTTATATTGGCCTATAATGCTCTTATTTCTCTGACCTTATTCATTCCTTTGCCATCTCTTCTCCAGTAGCACTGGCCTCGTTGCTGTTCCTAGAACACTCCAAACATGGCCCAGCTAATCCCTCTGCCTAGAATGCTCCCTCAAATATCTGTTTGGCTCACACTCCCAGGACTTGGATAAAATGTCGCTTTTTTCAGTGAGGTCTTTCCCGATAGCCTTATTTAAAATTGGAAGCACTGCAGATTTCTCTGCTTTGTGTTTTTCTCCATAGCAGTGACATGTTTTGTCTTTTTTGTGACTACTAAAATGTAAGATCCATCCTGACAGAAATTTTTGTTTACTGCTCTTGCTGCAACTATAAGAGTATGTAACGTATAGTATATGTCAGATATTTGAATTAATAAGTTCTTAGCCAAATTTCAAGGAAAATTTCTAACTTCAGAAAATGAATTTTTTACTGTTGACAGATTATTCATACTTATTTTAAGGGAAGTGCAGGTGTCTTCATTGAAGTGAAATGAATTTGTTTTAGGAAAAAATTGTTGCAAGATTGTGTTTTCATGTTGCCTGTTTGTAGAAACCAAGCTGGCTTGAATTTGCATGACTTCCTGTAAAATTTCTGGTAAGAAAAGTAACAGTAAATGTATGCTTACTTGTCTATCAGACCTTTGCTTTTAGATTTTCTTAGATCTAGAATTCTTTATTGTGCATTTATATTATAATGTGCTGTTTTAATTTGGTGAATACTGGCATAGCACTTCAAATTAGAGGGTTTATTGTATCATTTGTTTTAATTTGCAAATAGAGGTGATTTCTTAGTGGAAAGGTTAATGTGAGTGGATTGACAGGATTTTCAAAATCTTGTATGTTTGGGTTACATTAAATGGGGCTGATTTTGTAAAGTTCCCTCACACTCTTGAATTTTCTATGTTTATATTTGAACTTAGAATTACAGTTGCTAAAGCAGGACCTGAATTTTACTAGAGAATTTAGTATCTTCAACAAAGAAGAAAACTGTCTTTCTGGAATTGTGTAGGTACAGGCCTGCCTGAAACAGAGGGACTAGCTAGCTCTTTTGAGGTTCTTTGTAGTCCCGTAGTTATAGCACTGTTAAGAACATAATTAAATTGTAAATCATTGTAGTGTTCTTTATCATCACCCTAGAATTAAAAAAAAATTAAGATAACATGTACATGAAAAAAATTAAAACAATTCAAAAAGTATATATTATGATAAATAATGCTTCTGGCCTTCGGTTCCAGTCCCCTCCACCCCGACACAACCACTCTTACCTCTTCGTAATTTCCCAGAAAGTCTGTAGGTATGAAAGCATATATAGTGCTCACAAATGTTTCTGTATATGCTGTTATATACCTTGCTTTTTTAGTCTCAGCCATCTTTCCATAACAGTTCATATAAATATTTTATTCTTTTTGACCTCCGCAGAGTTTTCCATTTAAGAATGGATATTGCATTACATGCATTTTGGTTTTTGATTCATTTAGGTAGATGTTAGCAGTAGAGTTACTGACACTGGACATTTAAACTCTAACATACTCTAAAGTTTTAAGTATTCTCTTATATTATTGGCAGTGCACTATCTTAGTTGGTGTAGGCCTCTGCTTGCTTGCTCTTTTCCAGCCCCCTCTTTCTTTATTCTTTGTCTTTTCTCCCTTCTCTTCCTCCTCCTCCTTTAATAAAAGGATTTCTCTGTCACAGCCTTTTATAATCCTTCAGTGAAGTTATATTCTTTTGTTAAAAATGGAAATGTTGCCTAGGAAATGGAAATGCCCCAAATGCAACATTTTAAAAGTTAGGTTTTATAAAAGATAAAGGGTGGAGAGAAAATTTGGATACGTATTTGAATTTGACATCTATTATCTGTCAAGTAAACCAGCCTCTTGCATCACCTGGTAAATTAAAATAAAAATCAATTTTTACTTCAGAGGTTAGAGCAGAATTAATGCCAGAGAGAACTTTAGAAGAAAGAGTTTTGTTTTTTTTTTTTTTTTTTTTGGTGTAAGGTTGTACAGGTGCTGAGTTTATGCTGAAATATTTGCCTCTGTAACTTTTGAGTACTTTACAGCTGTGGTAGGTTGTTTATGATTTTTTTTTACAGACTTTGCTTTGCATTCTTATGGACGTCACAGAAATTGACATTAGTTTATCTGAATTGACAGGTGCAAGAACATTTAACTGTTGATGTGTAGTTGAACTCTTGGGGGAGGGGAAGAAACAGAAGCTTGCTTTTATCGTGTATCTGTTAACATTGATAGAACATACCGTTTCGTTTGGCAGAACTTCTTTTGCTGGGATTCTCAGTATGGTGTTAAGAATTGAAGATCTGGTAATGAATTGTCCTTATTCCTGGAAGTGATCCTTCCATAATCAGCTTGGAGGAATAAGATGAGGTAAAGCTTGTTCTGTTTGCTGAGCAGACAAACACTGGAGACCAGGTAGAAAACTTAATGTTAGAGCTGTAACCTTTTAAGCTTGGCCATCACTACAATGCAGGTCTTTCAGTGCCTTTACTCAGCTGACACACATATTAGCTGTGATAACATCATTTAACCAAATTCAAACAGGTTAGAATTTCCTTGTGTTTTGCACTGCACTGCATGCAAAACCATTGTTCTTTGAGTAGTTACTTTAATAATCTTCTCTCCCCTTAGTATAAGGTCACGGAGTTGCAGATGAACCTCCAAGCAAATATTTGAATAAAAGTTACACTTACATGAAAAAGATTATGACTTGAAAAATATGTGGATACCTCTGTTAGTCAAAATTGAAGGAAAAATAAGTAGGGAGTTCAGAGACCTGGGCTCTTGTCCTTGATCTGCTACTAATAGTGTGGTCTTAGTTAAGTCATTTTAACTTCTCTGGATCCCAAACATTTTTTTTTTTTTTAAAGGTCAGAGTAGTTGATCTCCTAGCTTTAAAATTCCTTGACTGTACAGGGAGTACTCTATGAAGTGTGTAATCTAAGGTGGCTGTATTTTGTGCTTACAGTTCAAATTATGAGTTAGGGGAAGGATGGTGGTATGTATTTTTGTTTTCTTTACTTTAAATGTAGAACTTTTGTGTTTTTATTGTAGTAGGTAACTCATTCTGCTGAGATATTGAAGTTCTTAGAATGCCAATTTGAATTTATCTGTCTTTCATATTTTAGGAATGTTTTAGTTTTGTATTTGTATCCATGGTAATAATATCACAAGTATGTAACTTATGAAAACAAATGCCATAAGAATATCATAAAAAGAAAACTTGAGGATAGATGAATAGGTTAGAAAGTTTGTAAGCCTAGGTTCTACCTAATCTATATTTAGTTTCTTCCTGAATATGGATCCATAGTCATTATCTTTCATGTCTTTTTCTGACTGGTCACAATTATCTTTTATAGAGACTTCTAATTAAGCGTTTATTGGTGGCTTAAGGAAGAGGCAAGTGAAAGAACTTAGACCTTGTCCCTATTTCCAGAGGAACTGTGATTATGTTGACACTCTAACCAGCTTTAAAGATTACTGTGTTTCAAAGCAGCAGGCCTAAAATAATATTAAAATTCTGCCACTTCTTTTTCTTGCCTTGTTTTTTGGTAAGGATTAATATTTGAGTAGGAGAATGCTGTGTGCATCATTGACCTTTGGGTGTTCCTGTACTTCTGAGGTAGTAATGTGAGAAATAGTGAAAAGGTAAACTGGATTAGAAAATGAGGATGGTATTTACACATTAGTTGAGTCAGCTGGCATTATGGTACATTGGAAAAACCACAGAACTAACAGAAGACTTGGGTTTGAATTTGGGGTCAGCTAATTCATTTACCTTAGACAAGTCACTTCACTTTTCTGATCCTCTTTCCTCATTCCTTGTAGGTAGTAACAACTACTCCGAGTTGCGAGGAAAACTCCAAGTTTTTGAAGGAAGTATTTTATGGATTAGTATTCTAACTGGGGGCCAACACATATATTTTGGATAGAAAGAATTAAATCCTCAAAGTGGAACTTTTGTAAATATCCTCTATCCATTTATAGGTACCTTATTTTAGGCAAAAAGTATATGTGAAGGACTTAACTATCAAAGCAGAAAAATGAGATCAGTGTGAACTTTATGAATAGTTCATGGAGGGCAGATTTTCTTAAGGATCTTTTAATCATTTGAAAATGACTTGAGTTAGAAATAATCTTATTAACACAGAAACTTTGCTTGTTGGATCCATCCCATTTTGAAAAAAGAAATATATACTTGACTTTTGAATCTCTGGCTTTTAGAACTCTTGGTATATACACTTTTATCCTATTCTTTATAGATGGCAATAATTTAGAATTGGTGTGACATTTCAAATGGCTTTGGGCTCATAAGAATGTATTCTTGCTTTTGGGCGTTGTGTTTATGATGCTTTCAACCTCCAGTTCACTTTACTCATGCTTTTCTCTTCCAGGTTTTTCGTTGGAATATACGTTGCACATTTATGGCGATTCTGAGTGTGAGGGCAGACTTCTGCCAGGCTCAGCACAGTGTTTTTGCTGACAAGTGAGCTTGGGGGTTCTATGTGCCATAATTAACATTGCCTTGAAGACTCTGGACACCGAGACTGGCCTCAAATAGTTGGCTTTTTTTTTAAATTTTTTTATTGCAAGCATATTTCTTTTAATGACTCCAGTAAAATTAAGCATCAAGTAAACAAAAGTGGAAAGTGACCTAAACTTTTAACTTGTTTCACTAGTGCCTAAATGTAGTAAAGGCTGCTTAAGTTTTGTATGTAGTTGGATTTTTTTGGAGTCCGAAGGTATCCATCTGCAGACATTGAGGCCCAAATTGATTTGGATTCAAGTGGATTCTAAGTACTTCTGCTTATCTTGAAGAGAGAAGCTTCTTAAAGAATAAACAAGTTGAATAGAGAAAACAGATTGATAATAGGCATTTTAGTGGTCTTTTTAATGTTTTCTGCTGTGAAACATTTCAAGATTTATTGATTTTTTTTTTTCATTTTCCCCATCACACACACGCACGCTCACACTTTTTATTTGCCATAATGAACCGCCCAGCCCCTGTGGAGATCTCCTATGAGAACATGCGTTTTCTGATAACTCATAACCCTACCAATGCTACCCTCAACAAGTTCACCGAGGTAAGATTGTAGCATGGTCTACTTTTTGGATTGATTTATAGGTAAAATTCCATTAAAAATTAACACCATTAATACTGTATACTTGAAACTAATAAAAAAAATTAACACCATTATAAAGAAATCTCTTATTACAAAGCCTTTTATTTCTGTGATTGGAGTATGAATGGTCATCCTGCTAATCTGTTTGAATTGGGTTGGATTAGTTATAAGATTTTTAAAAGAACAATTGTGGAATTTGGGGAAACTTTAGAGATTATTTAATAATATGCTTTTTCTTACATTCTTTCTACATTATCAGCAGTTATTTGGTCACCCTTTCAATAATAAAAATAATTAACATTTATTGAACATTTTGTACCCAGCACTAAAATAAGCAATTTTATGCATTATGTCATTTACTCCTCACCATAACCCTATAAGATAGAGATAGCATTATTATCTCCCTTTTACAGATGAGGAAACTGAGGTTCAGAGTGATTTAGTAATTTGCCTGAAGGTGTGCAGTACGTGGTAGAACTATCTCTGACACTAAAACCAATGAATATCTTGAATATTCTAATCCCTTTTTATGAAAAGCTATCCCAGAACTACTTAGCAATAGTAACCATCATATACAAGAGTCCAGAAACTTAAGAAATGGAAAATATTATAGGTAGCATTTTAAATCTCATATCCTTTATTTTTTCTATTGGAAGTGAAAGAGAAACTTTGTTCTTCATTCAACAAATATTTGAATGTAAGGTTTTTAATCATTTTCTCGTTGTTCAGTTTGAATGTGATTTCTGTTGATGTATTTTATGCAGTAGACTTAGGTGGATGAACTCCTAGGGATTCTAAATCTACCTCTCTCATTTTACAGATGGCAAAACCAAATTTAAAAGAGGTTTTGATTTGCTCGAGGTCACAAATATTTGCCATAAGAAATTTGACCATAACCTTTCAATGGCTACTATGAAGTTCCTTTAAATGAGATTTTATTTGTATTTTGAAACTTCTTAAAATACTTGGCTCAATATTATACTAAGAACTTTCCTGAGTATGCTTTATAAGAAGGCCTTTCTGTGAAAAATAAAGTCCTTTAGCAATCAAAATAACTTTACTCTTTAGTTAACCAAATGATGGATACTTCTTATAGGATATCACTGTTCCTGCTTATTTATACTTATAAGTCCTTGAGCTTCTTAACTTTGTGTACACAGTGTACAAGTTGATTTCTAGGTCTGTGTGCCCTTAGGTTCAGTCACCTTTAAGCCTGGCTGAATTATGTGATACTATTTTCAGCCTGTGGATTCCTTAGCCGTGGATTCCAAAAGTGGCAGAGGCTACTCTCCTCCTGCAACTATAAAAAGATGTTGGTGGCCCTTTGAAGATAGGTGGTCACTATTAGGCATTACTGTAGGAGAGTTTTTAAAGGAGCAAGGCTTCTGGCTGTAGTTGTTTGTATGTTAGTTGGCTTTGTAATATAATATCACTTTTTAATCTTAATTTCAAAATAACTTGTGTTTCTTTAAGTAAAAGAAAAGCAGTAAGTACTTACTACATAAAAGTCAGAAGATGTAGATAAGCAAAAGACAATTTAAAAATACTTAACTGTTAATGCCTGGCTTCTAGATTTTTTTTCTCTGTATATATGCATATATTTATAAATAATCATACAGATAAAATCACAGTGTATATTTTAAAAAATCTTCCCCTGACCTCCTTAGTATTATTTTTACAGCTGTCATAGTATTCTGTATGGATGTGTCATGCTTTCTCTAATCATTCCCCTGTTTTGGGACCATTAATGTTGTTTCCAGCTTTTTACCATTCAGATAGCCTGTGCTGAACATGCTGGCATCTAGTTCTTTGTGTCTATCTTTATTATTTTGTTAGTAAAAATTCCCAGAAGTAGAATTTCTAGGTCAAAGTATATGTGTGCTTGTAAAGTTTTTGTGTTATGCTACTAAATTGGCCTTCATAAAAGTGAGTCTTATTGATGCTTCCACTTCAGAGTGCAAGAGTGTCCATTGTATGTATATATTGCCACAATGAGAATGATTTTGATCTTTGTTGAAGAATGATGTCTCATGGTTTCAGTATGTAATAGTACATTTTTAAAATTTTGGTTACAGATTCTAAAAGCAACTTTTTTAATATTTTTCTTTAAAGGAACTTAAGAAGTATGGAGTGACAACTTTGGTTCGAGTTTGTGATGCTACATATGATAAAGCTCCAGTTGAAAAAGAAGGAATCCACGTTCTAGTGAGTGTGTAGTGTTTTTTCACTACAAGTTATCCCATTCAAACAGATATTTTCAAAAATTGGCACATAGGTTGCATTTTGAGTTTACGCTAGGAGATACAATGTTCATAGCAACCTTTAAATTTCTTTGGCTTGGCAGTTTTGTTCATTCTTGCCCTTAAAGTTTATACTTGCAGAGTATTTTCAACAAATAAAAAGTAAAATGTGAACACTTATTTTAAGAAAATGGAAATTTGCATTTTGTTTTTTCTAGGAAATTGATGAAATATTTAGCTTTTTGTTTCTAGGCTACTGGTTTGAATCTAACTGAAAGTAATTTCTGTCAGGCATTCATAAGTCACATGGAGATACTCTCTCTTACTTTCTTTGCAAGTACAAATTAGTTACTTAATATTTTGTGATTAACTTGTAGAGGACAAAAAGGTGGGAAGAGGATAAGGGAGAGGGAGAAGACATCTTGTTCCAGAGTTATCAGCATAGTTTCTGATACTTTTTGATAGGTTCCTAAGAAGCTTTTGTGTGATTATACTTCCTTCATAGTTCAGTTTGAGCATAAGCTGATTGGAATTATTTTAAATTCTTTCCTAGCCCCTGTATATGCAATTTTGCTACCAAAACAGGAGCCTCAGATTAGGTAAAATTTTATACCTTCTTCCCTAAATAGTTGTCTAAGTTGCAGGACCACAGAATAAAATGACCTTGTAGTTGTAGAGCTATTTGACTTAATTATGGGAAGGCAGTATAGTAGGAAGAGAATGAGATTTTTTTAAGTAGTTGGTTAGGAAGAAAATAATAAGATATTGGTATAAGGTTATGTTCCTACTTTTTATTGAGAGGTAGTTCTAGAGTTTTTACTGCATTGATCAGTAGTTGGACAGACAGTTCATGCAAAGAAAATAAATGTGCTATTGATAAGGCAATCATCTCCTATCTAATTCATAAAATTTCCTCACCTCTCTTTTGGTGAAATGCAATAACTAAATAGCCAAGCATTATGTTTTTTAAAAATGTATTTGAATAGTATGGAGTGGTAGTAATTTGCTTGCATTCCCATTTCTAAATGACTTTAAGGTCTCCTGGATGGAAATCACCGGGGATAAGTATAAACATGTGTTAAATGGAGCCTTGTGTTAAAAAAAAAAAAATTTTTTTAACTTTCAAAACTGAGCTGAATATAAGTTCTTTTTCCTGTGAGTGCAGTGGTCCCCCTTATCCGCAGATTTGCTTTCCGCGGTTTCAGTTACCTTGTGGTCAAAACATAGCCTTAAATTATTAAATGGAAAATTCCAAAAATAAACAGTTTTTAAATTTTAAATTGTGCGCTGTCCTGGGTTTGTGATGAAATCTCACTTTTTCCCGCCTGGTATGTGAATCCTTCCTTTGTCCAGTATATCTACACTGTATGTGCTACCCACTTAGTAACTGCCTGTTATCAGATAGACTGTTGTGGTATCACAGTGCTTATGTTCAGGTAACCCTTAGTTTACTTAATAATGGCCCCAAAGTGCAAGAGTAGTGATACTGGCAGTTTAAATATGCCAAAGAGAAACTGGAAAATGCTTCCTTTGAGTGAAAAGGTAGAAGTTCTTTACTTAAGGAAAGGAAAAATATCATGCTAAGATTGCTAAGATCATCGTAAAAATGAGTCTATCTGTGAAATTGTGAAGAAGGAAAAAGAAACTTTTTTCTTTTGCTAGTTTTGCTATTTTGCCTCAGACTGCAAAAGTTACTGCTACAGCGCGTGAAAAGTGCTTAGTTAAGATGGAAAAGGCGTTAAATTTGTAGGTGGAAGACATGAACAGAAAACATATTCCAATAGATAGCAACGTGTTGTGCCAGAAAGCATTGAGCTTACACGAACACTTCAGCAAGGGATCCCCTGAAACAAGTAACACCAAGCCATTTACTGCAAGTAAGAGATGACTATACAGATTCAGGAATAGGTTTAGATTGTAAAATATAAAAATTACTGGAGAGAGACACCACATTCACATAACTTTTATTACATTATATTACAATTGTTCTATTTTATTATTGTTAATCTCCTACTGTGCCTAATTTATAAATTAAACTTTAACAAAGATATGTATGTATAGGAAAAAACAGTGTATAATAGGGTTCAGTACTGTCTGCAGTTTTATGCATCCACTGGGGGTCTTGGAAGCCCCACGGATAAAGGAGGACTACTATATGTTCTCTAGTGGGTAGATGAGAAATCAGTTTGTTTTGACAGATGGCAAGGTGAGAAAATGAACTGTAGATTAACTGTAGTCTGTTTGAATCAGTAATGTTGATGAAATAGAAATAAACTAAAGAACTTGAACTAGTTTGTAGAAGATAATGGTAGGTCTGGGATTTATTCCAGGCTTTTAAATCTGGGCTTTTGTTTTGTTTTGTTTTAAATAGCTGTGATCAGATAAAATTAAAGGGCTAACTTAAGCTTGAAAAAACAAGGACACTTAAAATTAAGCTTGGAATTTCTTTCCTTTCTCCAGACAGATTTTAAGATAGATTGTTAATTTACTTTTGCTAAGTGAAGAGGGTTCAGGACACTTTATAAGAGAATATCTCCCAAATAAGATCTTTCAATCCTTTGATCAATGCTCTTGCAAATTAGAGGCACATTGGAAAAGACTAATGGTTGTTTCAGTTATGTCAGTTTGAAGTCAGATGCTTCTAAATTATTACTTTAATGATTTTTTTTGATAGAATCTGCTTATTTGAGTAAGTGAAGCATGTTTTATGTTATTATTTCTTAACTAGGTGCATTTTAGGGAATATAGAGGAAGTAAACACTTAACTAAGGAACTTACTGCTGTTTATAGTTAAACTCTTTAGTGACATTTATAATGATAACTCTGACAGCCCTTTAATTATGGGATGTAATTGACAAACATAATGTACCATCATGGCTAATGGGCCACATGAAGTGTTACAGTGGTGCCGATAATGAGTGGAGAATCAGTTTAATGCTCTGTCACTTTTCTCTTTTTCCTTCTCTAATATCTTAAAGTGTCCTTATCCAATCTCATTGGAATAATTTTATATTTTAAAAAAAAATTCCCAGTGTTTTGCATTTCTGTCCTTGAAGCTAGATGGAAGAGAGAATATGTAAAATGTGTGTCCCCTTTCCCCTTTCTTCAAAGCTGATTTGTTGTTGGTTTCTTAGGACCTACTTAGCAAGGAAGATAAACCCCTGCATATATTGTGAAGGCACATGGAGTTCATCTTAATTAAAAGAACAACCCAAACTGATGAATATAAAAAGAGAAAGGAATACTTGAGAAAAAGGTCCCTATTTGTTCGATACACTGTCATGTGTCACTTTGCTTGTTAAATGTGATATGTATAACTTAAGCAGAGCTTTAAAAATATTTGCTGCTTGGCTTTTTTTTTTTTTTAATCACAAAGGTGATCGTATGTTTCTGTTATGATACGCTAACTATTGGAGACTTTGTATCAGAGAGCCTTTCTCTAAAGAAAAGACATTATATCTTAGAATTATTTGGGGGATAATCCTCAAAAATACTTGTAGAGACCAGTAAGATACCAGTGGGTATGCTTCTTTGCTAGAGTGGACTTTTAAATCATATTGACATGTATTATATCTTTTATTACTTTGTCTTGGCTTTAATTACAATTTTCTCTATTATGTCTAATTACCTCTCTGTTCACATAAAATATTTGAGAAACGCTTAATTTCTTATCACTGATAAGAGATTTCCACAGAATAAAATTAGACTGACTGCACTTCATTGAGAAAAGCTAAGTTATTTGGCACACGTGAATTTCGATCTTGGATCATTTTTAGCAGTGGAGAAAATATCAGTGTAATGTAAAAGATGTTTTTCTTTCCAGGATTGGCCATTTGATGATGGAGCACCACCCCCTAATCAGATAGTGGACGATTGGCTAAACCTATTAAAAACTAAATTTCGTGAAGAGCCAGGTTGCTGTGTTGCAGTGCATTGTGTTGCAGGATTGGGAAGGTATGCTCTTACCCTTTTGAATGTGAATTCATTATAAAAAATTTCACTTTGATAGAAATTTGCATTTATTTCAGTAAATATTAAATTGCCTAAGACGAAAGGAAACGAGAACAAAAGCTGGTGTATGATTTCTCAGAGCTGCTTTTTATATTTCATTAGTTGTCTGATTTGATGCCATACTAAATTTAGTAGGTGATGGTTCCCAATTTGTTTTGAAACTGACAATATAATTATCTTATCTTTGAGCTAAAAATACAGTCTTAATTCAGTATGTTTTCTTTTTCTCCCCATTTCAAGTAATCAGAGGTTTAGGTCTTTGAATGGGCAACAAAATTAAAATAATGTTAGAGTTTGAAGAATCTATACATGGTTAATTTTGAGATGAATGGGAAGTTAATAGGTGGAGAGCAGATGGCTGAACTTTAAACTCCTGAAAGGAGATGTATGGAGAATGAAAATTAACTTCGATTTTAAAAGCTTTTTCTTTGAATATTGCATGGAGTGGTATAGCAACATTCTCATCAACAGCAGATTAAATATCAGTGTATGATGTGTACTTTTACTCAAAACATTAGTGCAGGTTGCTGTTGCCTCAGGGTGGTGGTGACTTAGGCTGTTAACCTCTGCTCAGCCCTTTCGTTTGCTATTTTCTTCTTTTGCAGTTTAGTACAGTTTCTTCTTCAAGTTCAGAAGTTTCAGTCCTTATCCTGAAGGGCAAAAGTGGTGTTCTAACTTGACTTGGGACAATTTTATAACTAGTAGCTATTTCAGTTAGGTAGTCCAAAGTTGGTGCCCTCTAATGGACTTTTTGTTTTCTTTTATCATTTCCTTTGTTACATTTTAAAAAGAATACAGAGGCTGTTTCTAATTACCAATTCTCTGACACAAAGGATTTTGTTGAAGTCTAGCAAGTTTTTAGTATTTGATAAGTAAATCGAATCAAAATTGATTCATAATGAAAATTCTGAGACATTTAAGGTAGATAGTACATTTCATCATTTATTTTACTGTGATAATCATTAAAGACCAATGAAGAATTTTTGTTGACGTATATAATGATGCGAACATTTGAGATATAATGTGGTGATGTTTTAAAGAGTAACCCTCTCTTAATAAAGGTTTAGAATTTAGTGCTTTGCTGAAAATAGATAATACCATGGAAGCTATAATGATACTGATATTTTTACTATATAGGATGGTATCAGATATTTTAGTACATATACAGGAAAAAGGGAAGTTCAAGCTTTGCATTGTTTTGGTAATAAGTAATCTTAGGTTTTAAAAAATCTTATAATTTCAAACACATGTGAGTATTTACAAATGAGTTTCTCTCTGCAGGGCACCTGTGCTGGTTGCACTTGCTTTGATTGAATGTGGAATGAAGTACGAAGATGCAGTTCAGTTTATAAGACAGTGAGTATGAAGTTTTATTTTCAGAAACACATAAAGCAAGATCATAAAAGAGGAAGGATTTATGGAAAATATCCATTTGTAGTATGGAATAATTTGCCATCTTTGGCCTAAAATAATGTTTTTTCAAAGATATCAAAAAGAGCAAATGATAAAGAGACTCATAATGCTACTGGCTCCCAGATTTAAAGATTTTTCAATTTAGGTGGCAAATTTGGCCATTGTAGAATATGTCCAGTATATGACTTGAATATCTAGAAATCTTTAAAATGAATAGCTAGATAGTAGTCTCAGTGATCTTGTGTCTCTTTCAGTGGATGTCTGACATACCTTAAAAATGCAACTCGCTATAACAGAGGTAAGGCAGAATCTGTAGAGGAGCAATTAATCACCTAGGAGTCTTAAGTGACTTGTTCAGGCATAAAATCAGGATGGCAGTGCCCCGACTGATCTTGGCATCAGTTTGGAATAATGGGCCATGCTATTTTGCTGTCCAGAATTCTTTGGCTATTTTCTTACCCTTTCCCCCTTTTCTTTAAAAATTAGAAAAGAAAAAAATATTTGTGACAGAGTGCATGAAATGAATGGTAACAGCTCTAGGAAGGTAACATATTTCAAGGAATGCCATCTGTGCTGCTGCTTCATATAAATACTTGCTCATGCATCCTAAATACTTGCTACCAATTCTAATCTGAAGAATATATTAATCTAATTAGGAAGAGTATAGTCAAATGTTTCTGGATGAACCATTCTTATCTTTATTAAATGATTAATAGACATAAGAGTCAGCAAAGAAATTTTGTCTATTCTAGGAAGGCACAGAAAGTTTGTGTTTCAACTTAAGAAGGGATGTTGTATGGGAAATATGCTGGTTTTCAGCTGTGTGGAGTTAGAAAGGCCTTAGGTCATATATCATATATTTCAGTGAATTAGACAGTTCTTTTTGTACATGATAAAGTTTGCCATTCTTATATTTTCAGAAAAAGAAGGGGAGCATTCAATTCCAAACAGCTGCTTTACCTGGAGAAATACCGACCTAAGATGCGATTACGCTTCAGAGATACCAATGGGCATTGCTGTGTTCAGTAGAAAGAAATATAAACGAAGGCTGACTTGATTGTGGCATTTAGAGGGAACTCTTGGTACCTGGAAATGTGAATCTGGAATCTTGACTGTGTCATCAAAGTAGTGATGGATTTAGTACTCCTCAAACCACTCTCCTCATGATTGGAAAAAAGTAAACAAAAAAGAAATCCCTCTATAACATGAATAAAATGTTTAAGAAAAGAAAAAGAGAAAGAAAAAGGGATTAATTCAGTGAAGGATAATTTTGCTTCTAGTGTTGGAGTTTGAATTTCTGCCAGGATTGAATTATTTCAAAATCTCCTGTCTTTTTTAACTTTTTCAAAATAGGTCTCTAAGGAAAACCAGCAGAACATTAGCCTGCGCAGAACCATCTGTTTGGGGAGCACGTTCTTCCATTATGCTTGGCACATAGATCTCCCTGTTGTGCGATTTCTTTCTTTCCTTTTTTTTGGGTGGGGGGGTGAGTTGGTGGGGGGGTATATTTTTCCTCTCTTCTCTTCTTTTCCCTGTCCCTCTTTTTTTCCCTGATACAAATTGTAGATGGAATAGGAGAGGTCTTTGTTGCTGTAGATGTGCGTGCAGTCTGGCAGCCTTAAGCCCACCTGGGCACTTTTAGGGGAGGAAAAAAAAAAAAAACCACGAAAAAAACAGTGGCATATATATTATATGATCCAGGTGGTTTTTAGTCTTTATTGATGATGGGGTGTTCATGTTAGTTTCTTAAAAACTATTCAGCATTAGGCAAAGTAGCCAAGAGCCTTTTGTTTGGGTTTTTGTTTTGATAAATTAGTGGGGAAGTGGCATTTTAAGATGAGTCTTTTTTTTTCCAAAGAACTTAGCTGAGAGTCGAATTCTTCTCTTTTTCCAACCAATGAAGCTAAGTGGGTATCTCAGAAGCTTTTTTCTGAAGGGGAGTACTCCAGGCCATCACTAAAGATGTATCCAGGCAGAGTTAGCACACTTTCTATACCTTGTAGAATTGTGGGCTGTAGCATTACTCTGATTTTCTGTCTAATGTTGTCAGAGAGTGCTGGTAGTTTAAAATTTTTATTTTAGGATTTATTTGTACTCTGAATTTTCAAGAACAGTCAGAGGAGTAGCAGCAAAGACACAATATTTTGGACTTGAGAAATGCCCATGATGGGCATTTTCCAAACTGCCCCCTATATGTACAGTTCAGTTTAACCACTGATTGCCTTGTTACTTTCTTACTAGGTTCTTTATGAGATTGAAAAAAAGTACGCTGGTTCAAAACCAACAATGCCTAGTGAGTATGTGTCCACAGGCCCTAACAGGATAGGAGAGAGACATAGAGCAGCCCAATGAGTAGCAAAGGGACTGTGTTAGTGAAATTGGTGTAGTGTCATTTTTGCTGAATCTTTGTGGGGTTCAGTATGCTGATCTAGAAAAATGGTCTTTCTGCTCTTTTGCAGAAGGCAGTTGTGGCTGGGCTGCGTCAACAAAGCAAGTTGAAGGACCGTCAGGGGCTCTTGTATTCTTTATCTAAATTTCACAAACTTTATAGTGCTCTGCTTCTAAGGATTTGAATAAAGGCTTAGGGTCATCTTGTCCTGCTGGAATTTGCTGTGCAGAGCCATAAACTTCCCATTTTATTAGGATCAGCTAGGCCAGTAGGAATGGACCGGGACCTTGTCTCACTGATGATACCTCAGACGTTGGCTGGCTGTGTGAACTGCATATCTCTTATGCCGGAGTTGTTTTGCTTTTTAACTAAATGAAAATCTGTAGATTCTCTCCTCCCCATCCCAGAAAACAAAACAAAATAATGCTTTTTGAAATTGTTTCTAGGATTTTAACGTGAAAAATGATGGTACTGTCTGTCCAAAATTCTTTATATCAGAACATGACAATAGATTTCTTTAACATAGACTCAAGATCAAAACAGCATATCTTTTAAGCTCATAGACTGTTGATTCCAAGGATTTCGATCAATACCATAACAAACCTTTTTCCTTTGACATGGCTTTAATTTTTGTTGTTTGGGTGGAGGGAGAGAGAGACAAAGAGACAGAGAAAGAATGCGTGTGTGCTCGCGCACGCGTGTGTGCAGTGTCCACCAGTATCAGTGCCTGCCTGAGTTAGGAAAATACATTCCTGGTTCTGTATGAGAAGAGTAATAAAGCAACATGAAACATTAGCCCTCATTTGTTTTAAATTACAGATTAATGTTAATTGTTCTCAGAACTGGATTTTCTTCCTCAAAATTAAACGTTTTTTTCTTTTGGATTTAATGAAGTATTGCTAGCCGAAGCCAGTTTGACATAGTGAGAGAGATGTCAGACTGATGAAAGGTGTGCAGCCTGATTTAAAACCAAACCCAGAACCCTTTTAAAAGAACAATAAACATATTTTACATGCTCTTTGTTTGTACCTTTGTTCTCTACCCCCAGGTTGGGTTTCATTTATGTCTCCATAGAAAATTTGGTATTTTCAAAGCCTGATTGGGGTCCTGCTAATTACTGCAAGGAGGTGAAATAATTAGAGTTTGGGAAGTTCAAAGATTTCATGCCATCCAGGTGTTCAATAAAGGCAAACTTAACTGTAGTTGGGATACATCTGGTACATTTTCAGGTTCAGTTCTTGGACACAACACTAGGAATTTAGCATGTGGTCTCATTCCAAAGGACTTACTTATGACAGGTTTTGATGAAGCGTTGTAACTTCATACTTGAACTCTTAAAAGAACAGTGAGGAAGGAGGATCTCTATATGTCATAGGATTGAGGGGTGGGGAATTTCCCCAAACCCTGGGTAAGCATTTATCCATCCATTCAGATAATACTGTGCTAAGGTACGAAAAATGAAAAGACGCTGATCCCACTTTGGAGGACCTCAGTTGTGGATTTCGATATGTAGACATAAAACAGTGAGTGGTTACAGTATTATGTGACATAATTCATTGATCCTCACTTATCTTAAATTTTCCACCTCATGTCCTTCATTACCTAGCTTAGGTTTTAGTGGACCATGGTTAGTTACAGTCACTCTCGGCTGCACAGTAAATTGCCTTGCCCCATCCCTTGCTTCATTATACGCACTTACCTGGCTCAACTCCATTTTTGGTTAAGTTCAGTATGCCCCCTTCTCTGCACTTGTGCCACTGAACTTGCTGACTCAGTCTCTATGTTTAGTTATGACCTCAAGCAGACATTAATACCATCTGGCAATCCTACATTTCTCTATCCCATTTACTCTTTCACTTACTTACCTTGAAAACTTTTAAATTTTAATACCTTCCCCATCCTCAGCTTATAGCCTTTTATTTAAAATTTAGAAAGGGAAATTTCTACAGGCTTCTACCATCACATCTGTGTACGCTCTCGTCTTTCCTCCAGTTACATATCGTCCTTGTCCTACTTAGGGCAAGCTCTTCCACTTGTGTACTAGATTCCATCCCTTACTCCAAGGGCCCAGATTTAGCCATTCTTCTGTTCATTCCCCTCTGCTAGATCATTCCCTTTAACCTATAAACATGCTATTATTTCTTCCATATTAAAAAGAAATCTTTGACCCATATACATCTTTTCAGATACCATCCCCTTTCTCTGCTCTTTATAGCAAAATTCAAGAGTTATCTACCTATACACTATTTTTCTCTTTTGAACCCAGTCCAGTGAGGATATTGACTCCACAGAAACTGCCTATGTAAAGATCATCAGAAACCTCCATGATACATAATCCAGTGGTCAATTCTCAATCCTTTATTTTGACATGTCAGCAGATGACACAGTGAATCACTCCTCTTTGAGATGTTTTATTTACTGTGTATGCAGAATAATGCCCTACTCCCCACTCAAAGATGTTCACATTCTTAATCTCTGGAATGTATAAATATATTATTTTACATGGCAAGAGGGACTTTGTAGCTGTGGATATGTCGAGGATCTTGAGATTATCCTAGGTTATCTGGGTGGAACTGATGTAATTGCATGAGTCATAAAAAACAATCTTTCCTGCGTCTGGTTAGAAGGTGTGACTAGGGAAGTATGGAGAGATGCAGTGTCACTGGCTTTGGTGGATAGAGGAAGGGGGGCCTCTAGAACCTGCAAAAACCAAGAATACATTTTCCCCTAGAGCCTCCAAAAAAATCCTGCCCACATTTTTATTTTAATCCCGTATGGGGCTTCTATAGAACTGTAGGATAATAAGTTGTTTCAAGTCACTTCTAAGTTTGTTTTAATTTATTACAGCAGCAATGGAAAACTAATACAGATTTTTGCCTTTTAGGACACATACTCGAGATTTTGCCTGGTTTAGCAGCCACACCTCAGTTTGAGTTTCAGGTTTCTTGTTAGCGCCTCCATTTATACTCTATTTACCTGGACTCTGGACTCCAGATTCATTATCCAATGCCTACTTGACATCTCTCATGTATGTTTCATAGTTCAAAGTTAACTTCAATTCCTGCTCAAATGTAACTTTGACCTTCCACAACCATTCTTTTAAAAATTGGCATGTTCTATTTCCCTGCCGTGCTTTAGTTTTCTCCATAGCACCACCATTTCACAGACTTTTTGTTTGTTTCTCCACAAACAGAATATAAGCTCCATAAGGGCACATTTTTAAAAAAAATTTTTTAGTCTTGTTTACAATTTCTTCACCTAGAATGATGCTTGGCATGTAGTAGGTGCTCAGTAAATAATGAGTGGGCACTAACGGGCATAGATAAATGATGGTGCTACGGAGAAGGGAGTAACTAAACTTGCCCCGGAACACATTACCAAGTTCCTCGGGGTCATATTTGATCTGGGCTTTGAAGTGTGAGGTAGAACATGTTGATGCACGAGAGCCCCTCACATTCACTAGGATAGCTGTAATAGAAAAGATGGACAATAATGAGTCTTGGTGAGGGCGTGGAGAAATTGGAATCCTCATACATTGCTGATGGCAAGGTAAAGTGGTACAGCTGTTTTTGAAAACAGTTTGTCAGTTTCTCAAAAAGTTAATTTTAGAGTTGCCATGTGACCCAGCAATTCCAGATATCCAATATCCAATTCTAGATTTATACCCGAGAGAATTGAAAATGTTAGCTGTGGCCTGGGGTGTGGATGGGAATAGGGAGTAGCTGCTAATGGGTCTGGGGTTTCTTTTAGGGGTGATGAAAATGTTCCAGGTATTAGATAATGGTGATGGTTACACGACAATAAATATACTAAATGCCATTGTACACTTAGAAAAAAGGTTTGATGTGGGGGAAGTAAATTTCAGGCAGAAAAATAAGACGGAGTAGAAGTATAAAAGAGCAAAATGTTCGGGAGAAGTGGCATAATTTGGTCTCTCTGGAGGGCATAGATTTGTGCCAGGTTTGTTCGTCTAGGTAGTGTACTAGACACTCCTTCCTTGTGCCTCCCTTTCCACCCCCAAGACAACAACTAATTGAGTCAGGGACGGACAGTTGGCCCAAAACTAACCAGTGGCAGTAGATGCTCAGTTTTAACTGAGGGAGATTCTTGGATGTGAGGAGCCAGTACGGCCAATGCATGTGTTGAGTCATATGTGACGTGAGTAAACAGGACAGAGAGAAGAGGATGGAGCAGCAGCCTTGGGAAGCAAAATGGAGAGACTATGGCCTGGAAGTAGGGCAGAAATACCTTGACTGCAGCTAAATTCCCAGTTCCACTGTCCAATGAGGTCCTGCTGTATGCTTCCGCAGGATACTTTCAGTGGTTCCTGCCCCTTCCCTCCTTGTTTGAAGTAGTTTGTGTCAGGTCCTTAATAGCAAATAGGACCTTGATTTGAAAGTATTATATAAATAGCAGATAAAGTGCTGTGACTGAAGTAGCTATAGGAAGAGTGATGATTTATTATTTAGTGAGTATTTGAGTACCTGCCACACGTTTTATACTATTCTAGACACTGAGGATATAGTGGCAAACAAGACCAACTCTCTGCCTTTATGGTGCTTAAATTCTAGTGGAAAATATAAATAAAAGTGGGAAAGAATAAACAGGTATTCTAGTAGGTAATACACTTTCAGATCAGTGCTATGAAGATAAGAAGAAAGTAAAGCAGGTAAGGGGCTAATGACCAGGATTATGTATAGACCTAGGTGGAAAAGTCAAGGAATGTCTTTAGGGAAGTGGAAGGAGCCCATTATGTGTGAATGCTATGTGAAGGTGGCAGAAGCACTTCCAAGCCGTATGTGTGACAGTATGTGTAAACTTGAAAAAATGAACTTGGTATGTTCAGGAAACAGCAGTCTGGAGTTGAAGGGGAAATTTAGGCAGAGACCAAATTGTCTTGATTTGGTGAGGCTGGGAAGCTTGGGGTCACATTGCAGAGTGTATTATGTGTCCTAGCAAGAAATTGGAAAGTTTATTTGCTGTTTCTCAAATAGGAGGAAACATTAGATTCTCCACATATGTTCGAATAAATGTATGTGGTTTATTCAAAATGGCCATGTCCAGACACCACCAAGGCCCTTCTGAATCAGGCTCTCAAGCTGGGAATCTCTGCTTTGGGCAATGGGGAGCCCATGAAGTTTGGTAAACACAGCAGTCACATGGTCAGATCTGTGTTCAAAAAGGTTAGTTATTCAAGAAGCTCCTTAAATTAGATGCCATACCTGTTATGCAAACTCAGTGCTCAATTTGTACTGTGCATGCAATAAATGTTAGCTGAATGAATGAAAATGAATTGGAGAGAATAGAAGCTGAGAGGCCATTTATGGATGGCGTAGGTTGATGATGACTCGCGTAGGTGTTGGCACCTCAACTAAGGGAACAGCGGAGGACTAGAGTAGAAGATTCTCTTTCCTGTCAGCCACCAGAGCCCAAATTACATGAAAAGATGACCAGTATATCTGCATTCACATTTCGAGGGATTAATTTATCTCAACTGGGATATCTGGCCATAGGAAAGATTTGTAGAACCACTCCCACCTCTGATTTTCTCTGCAGATCACCCAGTGCAAATCAAAGAGATTCGAATACCTCACTGCTTGCAACCTTGCCAACCACCCTGGAAGAGTTCACCAGCAAGTGTGATAACAATGCAATGCCTCTGTCTCTTTTGCTGTTTGGGGGTTGAGGCAATCAGGAAGATGGAGGAATAAGGGGCTAACACTTGCTGACATCTGCCAAGCACAGCTGCGCTCAGAATCTCACATGCATTATTATCTCATTTAATCTTCATAGGCTTCCACTCATTGCTAACCCCATTTTATAGAGGAGGAAACTGAGAAGTGAAATAACAAGCAGGTGGCTGGGCCAGTATCTGAATCTGGGCCTGTCTGATTCTAAATTCAATTAACTGCTTGGCTGTACTGCTGTAGTAGAATGGGAAGATGTTATGTTCAGAATGTTGTGTTGAGTTTTTGCACTTGATAGAAGTCCCTGTTAACTGAGCTGCATCTTTATG